TTGGAGGCCATAAGACATGATTACATAAGTTACTCTTATGGATTGAATATGTGTATGACTTGTGGGCTGGGCTGAGCACCCTGTGTTTCTTGTACCCTAAGTCTTTATGGAATGAATGTTTATATTGGGCTTGTGGGCGATTATTATGCCTTGCGTCCTTATTGTACTTGTTATTAAATTCATGGATGTTTTATGTATTCTGAGTCTTTTGGGATGTTTTCATAATAAGACAAACTCTTTATAATCATGATATTATTTTACCACTTTAACTCAATTTTTTTCTACCATGATTATCATCTTAAAAGTGGTTTAATAATTATGTACTAAAAAGAGGTTTTTTCACTTAACACCATTTAGGTCCTTATTAAACTATAAGGACTAACGTTGTAAACAGAATAAAACTTGAAAGATTAAAACCTATGCTTTAAAACTATAAGAACCAAAACCAAAATGAAATTAAAGTATAAAAACCAAATATTATATTAACCCAATAAAAAAATTATCAAAAAATTACTAACTTAAAAATAAATCAACTATGAAGATTTCGACATGTAACTAGCGTCGTGTATAAGAAGTAACTGCAGTCTTCATATTTCAAATGTCACAAATCAACCTCCTAAGCATATAGGATACTCAAAACAAACAATGTAAAACGTATCAAGTGTAAAATCAATCAATTCATTTGATATAAAACAAATCTCTATATATCATCAAACATCCAAAACAATAAGGGAAAAAAAAACAAGAAGAGGATAAAGGAAGAGCAAACTTAGTGCAAGAGACAAGAAAAAATGCGAAAACAGGTGAATGAACAATGAAAACCACCACGGACAATGGAACACAATGAACGACTGGTGAAAAATGACTGAGAGTGCACTACAAAAAAACAGACTTTAGGCGACGACTTTCAGCGGCGACACCAAAAAGTCACCGCTGAAACTGCATTGCTGAAAGTGGACTTTCAACGGCGATTTTTTTTGTCGCCGCTGAAAGTTTGTCACTGAAACTAAGACTTTCAGTGGCGACCTTTTTTGTCATTGCTGAAACTGAACTTTTGGTGACGACTTTTTTGTCGCCGCTGAAAGTTTGCTGTTGAAACTAAAACTTTTAGCGTGACTTTTTTTGTCACCGTTGAAAGTGTAATATAATAATATATATATTTTCTTTTACAATATTAATAAACAAATTCAATCTGGCTCAACAACAAGAAGATTGGACACGAAAGGAGGCGGTCACGAGTTCGAACCTTGAAGAAGACACATTTAAGATGAAAATATTTGGACGATGATGTGGCGGGGAGGAGTGATGTGGCAATGACGCGTGAAGGTGGCTAGTGATGATGTGGCGGTCGGTGGTGATGAGGTAGAACAATGTCGCCGCCGAAAGTGTTTTTAGCGTGAAACTTCTAAAAGTCACCGCTGAAAGTATCTTTCAGCGGCAACATTTTTAGTCGCCACTGAAAATTTTCAGCCACAGCTGCTACAGCAACGACTTTTTAAGTCGCTGCTGAAAACTTTCAATGGCGACTTTTATACTTTCAGCGGCGAGTCAATTTTTTTTGTAGTGGTGGTTGGGTTTGGCTGAAAAACACCTTAGGAAGGGAGTTTGAGTGGTGGGATAGAGAAAGAGGGACCACAGCAATTGTCAAAAATAAAGAAATTGTCACGCGATAGGGTTTTTTAAGCTCTCTGTCAATACTTTTAATAGCGATCTTCCAAAAAACCGTCATTAAACATGTTTTTAACGAAGGTTGTTTATATAACCACCATTAAAAGTACTTATCATGGCACTTTTACAAACGTTGTGGTGAGTCCAAGCGTCATCTTCTATTTTTTATTGGAAAGTCACATTTTTCACCGCAATTTTTAGGTAACAGCAGTAAAAAGTAATACTAACTATCAAATAATTACAAAATTATCACTGCCTTTTTTTATGACTTATTTTTATTTAATCGCCATAAAATGATGTTGTTAAAGCTCTTTTTTCTTTTTGTAGTAGTGTAAGTAAATAGGACTGGAGGGTACTAATATACTGATTCCGTTAAATATGATGGGTCACATCTATTCTAATTACGTTATCAAAATCAAAAATAGATATCGTTAGCTTTGTCCGAAAAAATGTTTTTCTAATTTTTTTTAATATTTAAGAGCACTAAAAAATACCACCACGCACTCTGCTGGCTAATGTGAGTTATTTGTTACATATTCTCGCATATCAAAAAATGAATTAAAGAAACAAAATTTTTCAATTTTACTCTTATTAAAGTTTGACATTCCTTTCTATATTTACAAATTATTTTCATATCTCTCCTTCCAACAGAAATTAAATAAAATTAAAATTAAAAACGGCATTAAATAAACTACAAGTGACTTATATTTAAGATCAAAACTTTTTCTTACAAGTGACTGACTTGCAAACTACATGTCTTCTCCTAGTAATTGTAGTAAGGGTAATACATGAAAAAAGTTGATTAGTGACGCACCATGGATTAAAAATTTCTTTATATACCTGTGAGACTGTGACCGGAGAGATCGAGTAAGGTCCATGCATAATTATAATTTCCCTTGGTTACTTTTTATGAGAAACACAAATGAGACTATAATTTTGTTTCTTATTATGAAAACACAACTTGTTTTTTTTTAATTTAAGCATTTATTGCTTTTTTTTCCTACTTGTGTTACTTGTGTCCTAATTAAAAATAAGAAAAAATATACTGATATTTTCCATACAGTTTTCTTATAAGAGTAGTAGTATTAGAAAACAATTTCTCTGTCTAGCGATATCTGTAGAAGCTCTAACTAAATGAAGATGCTTTTCTTATCTTAGTATAAGGAAAGTAAGAGTATTTTTTTAAAAGAAATTAAAATGGAAGGATTATATTTTGCCATCCTTTATTTCTCTGGATTCTTCAATGGTGATCCAAATTAAAATTATTACCACTTTACCATCATTTACAGTTTCTACTTTCCCTCTAAATAAATGAACCAAAAATCTACTTTCAATTTTTTGAATGTTAGTAGATTCGGACTATAGTAAAAAGCAATATTTGCTATTTATTTCTTATATGATTAATGCTTTTCTTATCCCTCATTTATTTAGGCCTATTTTGATCAAATTTTATAGTTCAAAATGTTTATTAAAATTAGTTGAAAACAATAAATATGCAAAAATGTAACTTTTTTGGTAAAAATATCCTGATTTGCGTGGAAGAGAGAAAACGTTAGAGGAAAGAGAATGTAGAAACTAAATATAGAGAAAAATAATCTTTTAGTCCTTCAAGTTTTAACTCACTTTTAACTCAATCTTTTAATTATGACTCGGCGCAACTCAGTCCTTCAACTTTTAACTCGTCTATAATTTAGTCCCTGCTCTTTTTATAATTAATAATTTAATCCTTAGTACATACAATTTACTTTTAATCCCTAAATAATTATCCTACATGGCAAAAAATATTAATTAAGATCATTAAACAATGAAAATGTGTCTTCCAACTCAGCTCCTGTATGATACTATGCAATCGGACTCCTCCGCCATTTTCTCCGGCCGGCAGCGTCTCCTTTCTCTACTTCACCCTCATCGTTGGCAATTTCCTCGGCACGTGGTGCCCAGCTCAAGCCCCGTCTTCTACTTTCCCTCCTAATACAATGTGCAGAAACACAGTCAAAGTGAAAAGAGCCATTAATGGACTCCTAATGAGCAAGAGAAGGCATGACCCAATGGGTGAATTGCAGTGTTTGTGTAAAAGGGACGATTTCTTCACTGGAGGAGAGAAAGCAAAGCATAGATAATAAATATGGTAAGAAATATTAGTGAGATTGAGAGATAGGCGATGGGCTTTCGTGAAGTCGCTAGAAGTATTTAAACAGCTTCAAATGAACATTTTCAACTATACGTGCCTCTAACTCGACTTTTATTTGGGCCTTCCTTCCCTTTGAGTTGGCGCCTCGAAGAATCAATCAGTGGTTGGGTGAAGAAGCAGAGAAAGGAGATGCTGTCGGCCAAAGAAAATGGTGGAGTCCGATTGCATAGTATCCTGCAGGAGCTGAGTTGGAAGACACATTTTCATTTTTTAATGATGTAAATTAATATTTTTTGCCACGTAGGATAGTTATTTGGGGATTAAAGGTAAATTGTATGTGTAAGAAAACGGGTCAGTTCACCCTTGGTGGATTGGATCCAAGCCCAGTATCATTTGAGGTCCTGGTGTAAATTATAAAACATATGGGTCCTTACTTGTAATTTTAGCCTTTTTACATAATATGCAAAAAGGAGGGAACAGTTATGCAGAGACGGTTTTTTTATTTTGAAACAAAACATGGATTTAATATTATAACTGAATGATCAGTTTTAAGGGGCCACGTTTTTTCTTCTCTTCCTCTCTGCACGACTACTGCCTTTCCAGACTCCTCTCTCCTTCTCTAAAAAACTTTCCCTCCGGTGCATTTGTTGTGTCTATCAGATCCGACTCTGTCACCGTGATTGGACCTCCGCGTGGCAACCTGATTACATTGCAGACTCCAGGTATGCCTGAAAACCTTCAGTATGTAATAAGGATTAAATTATTAAATGTAAAAAGAATAGGGACTGAGTTATAAATGAGTCAAAAGTTGAGAGATTGAGTTGTACCGAGTTATAGTTAAAGGATTGAGTTAAAAGTGAGTTAAAACTTGAAGGACCAAAAGATTAATTTTCCCTTAAATATATATATAAGTAATACCAATAATTAAATGAAAGTAAAATAGCAACTTCTAAATGTCCTTTATAAAAAGAAATACTCTATGTTATAACTCCAAAATTGTTTCTTATAAAAATGAACATAGAGAATATTTAAGTAGTACTTCGTATTAATTCGCACCAAAGGTCCCAGATTGGCGTTTCCTCGACATTTCCCCATGTGGAGATTTCTCTCCTCTTGTATCTTTAATCGTGGTTTGATCCTTTGCGCTTTTAATTCACTTAACACTAATTTAACAATTTTAAGTGAAAAGGGACAATATAAATAAAATAATAGAAGTCTAACAGCCAACGTTATGATATATTTCGTTCCAATTATTAATATCCATAACTTCACAAGCATGGTACATTTTGACTTGAAATAAATTACAATTATTTAGAAGTCAACGAATTTCTTTTCTTTCAAGCTCTCAACTGTCTCTCTAAGACCCACTTCAAATGGAATAAACTCAATTCCCAAAGTCTTTGCCTTTTCTTTGGAAACTTGGAAGATTGGAATGAAGGGCTTATCATCTGCACATCTGAGAAAACATGGCCAATGTAACTTATTGTTCCTTCAAACTTCATATAATACTCACACAAGCAAACATGTCCAGTTCAATTTAGCAAAAACAAGTCTCATCATTCTTAACCGATCTATATATATACAACTAGCTAGAACCTAGAAGCAGTCACTGCTTAGATTAAGTAGATATTATACTACCTCCGGTCATAATTATAAGAGCTAGTTGACTTTTATTTGCTAGAACTACCATTGTTAGAAGGATTACTTTGGAAAAAAACATATAAATATAAGAGACAAAATGGATTGTGGTCTTATATTTAGAACCAAAATAAAAGTCAAACAAAGTCTTATATTAAGAACCGGAAGTAGTATTTCATTACAAGTTACATTCAAAATGCAAAAGGGAATTAAACTCAGATCTTTGTTTCAAGTCAAGACCATAAGCTAACTTCAACGGTTTTACTTTAGGCATGCATGAATGAGAATCCGTAAAAATGATCATACCCAAGTAATTAATTACCTTCCTGGGTTCTGTTATGCCATAATATATAAGAATACATTATCAATTTTACCTAGATTAAAAAGTTCAAAATTAGCTAACCGTTTTAAAATTTTAAAAGTCATCCTCCATTTTCTATAGTGACACAGTGTATGAATGTTCAGTACTAGTAATGTTATGCCTGTCACTAATAAATTTATTTAGGCTGATATGAAATGAAAAGGATATGTATACATATACTCAGTTCTAAATATAAAACCCATTTTATAATGTAAATTATACTACAAAATAAGTCTTATATTTAGGATGGGTCTTATATTTAGGACTGGAAGGAGTATATATATATCCATATATATCTTTGGTCTTTGGGCATATGAATTCTTAATTAAAATTATAAAATACAAATGAACTTACTTATCTGGAAGTTGTAATGTCGGGTAGATATCATGCACAATCTTCACAATTTCAGAGTAGTGTTTCACTGACTCCACCAAACAATATCTTCCACTAGCCGAAGGAATTTCAAATGCCTGAATATGAGCATTTGCAGTATCTTTTACATGAATCCATGTTAAAGTAAAATTTGGAAATGTTTTTGCTCCTGCATCAAAGTAAACAAGATACATAGTAATTCATGAAATTGACATTTTCTAAATGGGCAATATCAATTAAAATTACCGTTGAATAGAATTGTAATTGTAGCTGAAGTTGTATTAAACGTCGGTTGCAAGAGAGGTCCTATCACTGTTCCTGGATTGATAGTAACCATATCAATGTTGTTTTCTTTAACAAAATTCCAAGCAGCTTCTTCAGCCAAAATCTTGGAAAGTATATAACCGGACCAGTTCTGAAAGAATAAGAATATAAATGAACATGAAACTCAAAAAGGATGCTGTAGAAAATCACATGATAAAAATTGAGTTGTAAACATCCATTTAAATAGTTACAAATACAGGAATAATCTCAGTTGCAATTTAAGCGTTTAAGCTTCATAAACCATTATTTTCGACGATCTGAAATTAAGATTATCATATTTACAGCTGTCCAGAGCTGTATTTGCAAATTTTTTTTTTCGCAAAAATGTTTTTGAACATGACTATAGCTAAATGAAAGTTTTGATATCAAAATGTCATTTTCCCTATTATATATCCCAAACACAAGTACACATCACTTAGAATATTCCATGTGAGAATAAAATAAAAAAGGAGGATATGGGGATCCATATGTGGGTCTCACCTCTTTCTTTCTTCTGCTTCACATGATTCGATTAAGACACAACCTTTTACTTTGAAAGCAAAACCCAAAAAAAGAAAATATTACCCCTTTTGTTGGGTGCCTCAATATCTGATCATGACTTTAGAAGGTACATTAATCTCGCAAGCATTGGATATACATGCATAAATTTGAAGTTTGAAAGACACACATTTGCATAATTGCTCGGTGAAAATGTTTACAGCACATGAGGTGACGGAAGTATATTAACTCTGAATTAAAATTCAACAACTTTCTAATTTTATCCCTATTTAATACACATTATATCTTATGACAATAAAGTCAATATAATAATAAATGAAGAATAAAATTACACACTCATATGAGAAATATCTTTCTGCCCTATAAATAAAACCAAAAAATTTCTTCTTTTCCTGCCCTATGAATACCAGAGGAGTATTTTTTTTAGGGATTATTCATGCAAAATATGATTTTTGAGTAGGATTGAAGTCTTGTCATCCCAACTTTATTTCTATGTATATTTAGCATTTACTATCTATGTGTATTAACTACTCATTCAAGTCTTAAATAGAAGAAGTACTAGATAACTAATTTTACAAAAATTAAAAATATTAGTTAAGTTAATTATTTATAATTATTTATTGGTTTCACCAAAGTAGCCATTTTAATCATATGCATTGGATGCTACTCCCTTGATGGAAAATCGTCTTAACATGGGTAATCAATTGGAACACTTTAGGAAAAAAGTTGCAAATTCAAGAGAGAGAGAAATGAAATGAGGTCATATGTTTATGATTAAACCAAACTTTTTTACTAACTCTTATATCAAGGACCGGAGTTATAAGCAAGTAGAAGCTTAAGTTAAATGCAGTTAAACTGAACATGCTACTTTACATACCTGAGGTTCACTGCAAAATTCTGGTTTTGAAAACCAGGTTTCATCAACTACAACTTCAGGAGTCTTAGGCTTTCCATTAAATAACATTGTAGCAATGGAAGAAGTTAGAATAACTCGTTTCACAGATGGCGATTTTGCACATGACTTTAGAACATTGAGAGTTCCCTTCACTGCTGGCTCTATGATTTCTGTCTGAACTGAACAAATTACTAATACATATGATTATGACAAAGACCAACAGTGAAGAACGTTAATAGTCGAAACTTTTTGATGCTACTGTTAATTTCTGTATAGATTGTAGAAATACATATATATATATATATATTCAAAGCATTTAACCTGGAACTCTACTCTCAAACAGAAAGGATTTAGCACTTGTTTTTTTTTTTTTTTAAATTTATTTAAAGATTGTTTAAAATCATAAGAACCTGAGGATCTTTGACATCAACAGAAACAGGAGAGGCAGTATGAAAGACGCCCTGGCAGCCTTCAACAGCAGAGTCAAAGGAACCTTCTTCCATCAGATTTGCTTTCATCAGATGCAATCTCTCCTTTGCTCCTTCCAGTTCAACCAAGTGAGATACCTTTCTTGAATCACCTGTGTGGAGAGTTGCAAATTAAACCACCACAAAATGGTTCTGAGAACAATATACATACATATATATTTATATAGACAAATATCGATGTATATAGGAAAACCGGAACAGAATTTGCTCCATGTGAAAACTAAAATTTCTCTTCAGGCGAATAATACTTTACAAGAACTTCACTATGGCTGATATATAGCTCAGTCAGATGGATGGCTCAGAAAGACAGGTGACAGAGACCAGGACAGAGGTAACACCTGAAAGAGCAGAGAGATTCTGCTCTTCCAATTTAGCCATTAGATTGATCTGACCATCACTATACTGCCACGTCACCCTGATCAAAGTCTCCTTCCGTAATTAGACTGTCTCTTTCACCTGTTCCAACAATCGACCATCGATCTCACCCTTCTGCTTCCTGGTTTAGACCAACTTAATTACAGAGAGCCCCAGATTTATGAAGTGAATTTCTGGGCCAAGTCTCCTTAATTATGTCTTTCTCAGCGTTTAAAAGGGCAAAAACAGTTTCAATAATGTGCCTTTATAGTGAAATTCAGATCAATCTAAGAACTAATGCTTGGACCAGTCTTTGTGATTGGTTTTGCTGGGCGATGCTTCAGACCAAAATATAAAATAATAAAGGGGATGATCATATTGAGGAACAGAACTCACTAGGGTCACGAACAGTGGCCTTGACAGTGTAACCACGAAGAAGAAGGAGCTTGACGAGCCAAGAAGCCAGAAAGCCAGAAGCACCAGTGACGCACACCAACTTTCCATTCGTCTGCCTTTCTTTCTCCATATTCTCTCTCTCTCTCTCTTTGCAGGCGGCTTCTCATATATTATTATCTATGCACATCAGAATCAGTAGGATGGGGAGCTGTGTAGACCACCAAAAGCTGGTTTCCATTCGCACCGCTTGGTAGTCAGTGGATTATTATTGTGTTGTCCTATTTATATCGGATATGTGGCCAGCATTCTCATTTGGTACTCATATCGATCACCATGTGCGTTGCTGTAGTGGAATCCGAATCATCTAGAATTTGATATGCATGGTCCAAATTTTAATAGACTTCGGTTCCATCTCCATGGTCCCTTTTACGTTTTTAATTTGTAATTTTTTCAATAATAAACTATTTTTTTAATTTTATCATTGTTATTAATTAAGGTCTAGTGTAAAAAAGCTCATGGAACTCTGTATTTCTCTGTCTACATCATTTGATTTGAGGGTAAACTTCAAAAAACAAAAATACTAATTTAGGACAAATTTAATGATTTAACTGTCATTACTTGGTACGTGAGAATTAGTTAAAAATACTTTATAATGAAAACAAGAGGGAGTATTAAATATGGATAAAGCTGGATTCTAATGTAGAGTTAATGAAATTTATTGTTTTTTCTGGATTTATGTAAAACATATTGAAAATAATTTATAAATAATAATATTAATCGGTATAACTTATTTTTCCATAATATTCTCAGTTATGAAGAGTGTGAGTAGGAGAGAGAATAAGTGAAAAAAAATGAGAGAGAATTTAAAAAAAGGAGTGAGAAAAACATATAATTAATTAAAGATAAAAGTGAGAAAAAAAATACTAAATACGCTTTTCAATTCCTAGCCCATTAAAATTAAGCGCTACAATCCGCCATTGGCGCGAAAGTGATGTGGCTATTCTGCTCAATTTTGCACGCTGGTTATGCTTAATGATGTGCATTTTTTAAGCCAAAAAGAATGTGCATTTTAGTGTGGTGGTTGGGCTACGACCCACCGTTAAGTAATTACAATTAAATACCCTATATCACGACATTTATCGATGGCAGCAAAAAACAAAAACAAAAACTGGCGACATTGATTTATAACATAAGGTCTATTCGTCGGTGATTTGGAATTTTTGGGTTGTTTAAATGGATTTTTTATTCAATCGCCTTTAGGGGGGGGGGGAAGAATGGGTGCGGTGAAATGCAGCTCTTGGGTGTTTTTAGGAAAAAATGTTCGGTTAGCAAAATGGAGAGGGAATAAAAAATAAGGATGAAAAGAAAGATAAGGGTATTTAAGTGAATCCCACCTTGATTCAATAATTTGATTTTTTAGTAATAATTTGATGTTTACAAAAAATATTGTAGGAAGAAAACAATTAACTAATAAAATTTAATTATTTTAATTTATTGTCTTTTTTAAATTTATCAAATTATATACATATAATATACTACTTTCAGTTCTTAATATAAGATTCAATGAACTAATTTGTAAGAAGCTAAATAAATTATTTCATTATATTCTATATTGCATGATATCTCTGAATATTTATACATATCACTAGATTACAAATCAGTTTATAAGTCAGCCAAATTAGTTTGTAAAAAAACAATGTCTTTTTTAATCATTTTCCATTTGAAGTTACTTTTCACTACTTATCCAAAAACAAGTTTTAATTTATCAAACTCATTTTTACAAAAGTTAATCTAAATATAAATCACATTACAATAACTGATTTGTATCCGAACTCAAGTTTACAAAAGTCAGATGAAATAATAATCATTTTTACCCCACTACTAATCTAAATACATCCGACATTAACGGAAGTGCAACTTGGGAATGGCTTTAACCAATTTGTTTACTCTATCTTATGATTGCGCAAGTGGAAATATATACATGCATACACATAAACTCTTCTCCTTATTGGATAGAAAGAAGAAATTTTTGGTCATATTATAGAGCAAAAAGAAAAATTTTTATATGAATATGCAGTTTTATACTTAATTTATTATTGTATTGATTTTGTTTTCATATGTACCGCTCTGGTTCTTATATTTTTAATTTGCAATTTTTTCAATGATAGACAATTTTTTTTCAATTTTACCATTGTTATTAATTAAGGTTTAGAATGAAGAAATTTTTCTTTCCCTATCTTGTAAATAAAACCTGAGAAGTAAATTGTAATTACCTTAGTTCACTCATGACAAGAAAAATAATTAACTCACACTAGACAATAAAAATTAGTTTAGTTTTTTAGAATTAGAAAGACTTTGGGTGTAAATCCGATTGTCAATATAAAAAACATATTATTGGTGAATGATTTGTAAGTATTTTTATAATTGTTGTTTGAATTTATATTGCCCCTAATTCTAGTAAGTATCCAAACTCAACTCACCCGGTCCCCCACTCTTGCGTCCTTACTAATTAATTGCAGCTTGCTCCATGGTGTTTTTGATTCACTTAACAATGCAATTTACTATCTCTTGTTTCAAATATATGAGTTAAATAAGGGATTTGTTTTGATCATAAATATAAGATATTTCTCTGGTCCTATTTATATTAGCAGAGAGAAGATATTTTTTGGTCTTATTTATATGGCACTAAGAGAAATTTTTTGTATGAATGTACAATTTTACTATTCATTTATTATTATGCTAACTTTGTTTGCATTAGATATAGTATATATTAATAGGGATAAAGTTGAAAAGTTGTTGAATTTTAAATAAGAGTTAATGAAGATTAAGATCTTTCTTGGTCTATGTGAAACATATTGGAAGTGAGTGATAAATAGGACCAAAGGAGTATTAATCTATTTATCTAATAATAAATTTATAGCTTTATTCTTTCTTCGCAAAAGTGTTCCTACATATTATACATAGTAATGGAGTTCCTATCAATGAGTAATAGATTCTGAAAAAAATATTTCGAGAAAACTAACATGCATTTATTATAAATAACAAACTTACATATTTTTCTCAATATATACAAATTAGTTATGTAATTCTGATATTAAGGATCGCACGTAGTAAAAATTTTCTGGGAAAAAAAATAAAATAAAATAATGGAAATTGATCGGCCTGAGATATTTCATTCCAATTATTAATATCCATAATGACTTCACGAATATGGTCTACACATCATCACAGCAGAGGTTAACTTTATGAAATCGAAGACTACAACTTAAGGTGTCATTTGATAAAATACATTGAGAATAAAAAGTATCAATTGAGATAGATCCGGAAAAAACCTATTGAAAAAATATTTAGTAATTACTTGTTATATACTTGGGATCTGGTAAACTCATATAGGTGAGATTGGAAAATTAATACTACATCTCTTCTTAGTATTTTACAATCTCACCTACATGAATTTTACCTAATTCTGATTAACGAATAATTATTCATATTAAATATTCTTTCAATGAGTTTTTTCCATCTCAATCTCATTTCTTAATTCTCATTTATAATCTCAATCCTTAATTCTTATTCTCAATACTTCATACCAAATACAACCTAAATGTTTGAAAGATATTTGGACTTGAAATATATTACAATAGAATTTAAAAGATGACAAATTTCTTTTCTTTGAGGCTTTCCACTATCTCTTTGAGTCCTACTTCAAATGGAATAAATTCAATTCCCAAAGTCTTTGCCTTTTCCTTGGAAACTTGAAAGATTGGCATGAAGGGTTTATCATCTGCACATCTGAGAAAACACGGCCAGGTTTCAAATCGGAAGGAATATATTAGATCCTCCATGATAGAGTAGAAAATATGCTTTAATATAAAATTGAGTGAGAAAAATATTTGAGTCTTACAATATAATTGAACACCAACACAGTTCTCCTTCCAATTCCTTTTATAAGAAAATATTTTGATTTTATAGAGATTAAAAATATCAATTAAATTAGTTAATACTTTTAAAATTTTAAAATTATCATCAATAAATAGTAGGTGATTGATCAGTCATGCTATGCTTTAATTTTCACTAATAAATTTATTTAAGCTGATACAAAATGAAAAACCTCCAGTATTTTAATGCAGTACATGCCTTCACAAACACACACACAGAAGTAAAACATAATCTAATCCTATAACATAATATACCACAATAATTAAAGCATAAAAATGACACACGTTTAATTTTTTCACATTCAAGGAAAGAGATAATGTCATGAAGTATTTAGCGGGACAATAAAAGCCAAATATATTGATTATCAATTAAAATTATAAAAGACAAATGAACTTACTTATTGGAAATTGTAATCTTCGGTACATATGACCAAGAATCTTCACAATTCTGAGTGGTGCTTCACTGACTCAACCAAACAATATCTTCCACTAGCCGAAGGAATTTCAATGCCTGAATATGAGCATTTATAGTATCTTTTACATGAATCCATGTTAAAGAAAAATTTGGAAAAGTTTTGCTCCTGCATCAAACAACAAAGGAACAAAGGAAAAAAGAGTCCAGATGAGAAGAAATAAATAGACAAATGTTTTTTGCCTGAATATTCATGGACATTGACATTTTCTAAATAGACAGTAATAATCATTCCAATACCCTCCCTCAAGTTTAGTTTTATATGTTCAACATTTGGAAGTGTGTATCAAATTAAAGCAAAATAAATTAAAATTACCATTGAATAGAATTGCAACTGTATCTGAACTTGTGTTAAGTGGGTTGCAAGAGAGGTCCTATCACTGTTCCTGGATTGATAGTAACCATGTCGATGTTGTTTTCTTTCACAAAATTTCCAAGCAGCTTCTTCAGCCAAAGTCTTGGAAAGTATATAACCGGACCAGTGCTGAAAGAATAAGAATATAGACGAACATGAAACTCGAAGGATGTTCCAAATAGTTAGGCCCCATAAAATTTTGCTAAAAATAGTTATAATTATCGATTTAAATAGTAACAAATATCAATTTTAGTTCGAGTTTTTAAGTTTCATAAACCATTTCCAATGATTTTGAAAACAAAGATTAGTATATTTGAAATTGTTCAAATCAGTGTTTGCAACTTATTATTAGTAATTCTTAAGAACATATTACTATAACTAAATTGAATTTTGAGACCTAATGTCATTTTTCCTTACCATGCGTCCCAAACACACAAGTACAGATCACTTAGAATAGGTCGTGTGAAATGAGAAAAGAAAATAAAAGAGTCCACTTTTCCTCATATGTGGGTCTCAACGCCTCTCCCTTTCTCTCGCTTGACATAATTGAGACGACCCTTTTAATGGTGGCAGAAAGAAAAATAAAAAAGATTATCTTTTTTTAAGATGACTTTTAAAGATAAGATTCACGCAAGCATTGTATATTTGCATAAATTGAAGTTGAAGAAAGAGAGAAACGATACATTCACTAATTGCTGAGTAGGAAAATGTTTAGTGCACATTAGAATCAGTTTTAGTACTTATTAATGTGGGCATCATGGTATTTATTACTACAATGAGATCGATAATGTTCAAATCTACAATTTAAAACTTTAACTGATGGTTTTTTCAATAGAAAAATTATGTTTTGAGAAACTGACAAAAGATAATCTTTATTTTAGATCATTTACATATCAAAAATATAAACTATTAAAAATAAAAAAAGAAAATCATATCGAATATGAACTGTCCAATTTGTTTGGATAGTTCAGATTTGGTGATGTGCATCCCAAACTGAAATCCATGCACATGAGGTGATTGAAGTATCCAACTATCATTTTCCCTTGATTATCAGCTTACAGATAAAACGAGAAACATTATAATATTTTGTTGTCGTAAAAACGATGTAATTCTGTATTTTGTACACATACTCATACTCATCACAAATTCTGGATCTGAAAACCAGGTTTCATCAACTACAATTTCAGGAGTCTTGGGCTTTCCATTACAAACATTGTAGCCATGGAAGAAGTCATAACAACTCGTTTCAAAGATTGTCGATTTGCACATGACTTTAGAACATTGAGAGTTCCTTTCACTGCTGGCCCTAGAGTTCTGTCTGAAATGAACAAATTACCAAGTATAGTTTACATTGCAGAAATACATACACACACACACACACACACATATTTTATATAGATATATGTTCAAAGCATTTAACCTTGAACTCTGCTCTCAAACACAAAGGATTGTTTAAAATGATAAGAACCTGAGGGTCTTTGACATCAACAGAGACAGGAGAGAGGCAGTATGAAAGACGCCCTCACAGAGCTTCCACAGCAGAGTCAAAGGAACCTTCTTCACTAGATTTGCTTTAACTAGATGCAACCTCTCCTTTGGTCCTTCCAGTTCAACACCAAGTGAGATACCTTCTTGAATCATCTGTGTGGAGAGTTACTAATTAAACCACCAAAAAATGATTCTGGGAGCAAGATAATATAT